TCAGTGGGTATCCCATCAATTCCTAGAGCTTTGTTTTTTGCCCCTTTCCTCAGTGCAGCTTTGACTTCCTCCTTTGATACCACTGGTTCTTGATCATATGCCACCTCCTGAAATGGATGAGCACCGACCAATTCTTTTTGGTACAGTGACTCTGGTGTATTCCTTTCATCTTCTTTTGATGTTTCCTGCCTCAGCCAATATTTTGCCCATAGAATCTCTCAATATTGCAACTCGAGGGTTAAATTTCCTCTTTAGTTCTTTCAGCTTGAGAAATGCCAAGCATGTTCTTCCCTTGTGGCTTTCTAACTCCTTGTATTTGCACATTTCATTATAATAATTGACTTTGTCTTCTCGAGCTGCTCTTTGAAACAGTGTACAGTTGCGTATATTTTCACCAAAATAAAACTTAAAAAACGGCCTAAGGATTTGAATGGACATTTCTCCAAGGGAGATCTACAAATGAGCAACAAGCACATGAAAAGATGCCCAAATCACTGACCATCCAAAACCAAAAACCAAACCCACTGTCATCAAGCGATTCTGACTCATAGTGACCCCTACTAGGTTTCCAAGGCTGTCAATCTTTATGGAAATAGACTGCCTCATTTTCCTTCCATGGAACAGCTGATGGCTATGAACTGCTGACCTCGTGGTTAGCAACCAAATGTCTTATCCACTGCACGACCAGAGTGCCTTCATTAACCATGAGGAAAATGCAATCCAAAACCACAATGAGACTCCAGTGCATACCCCTTACTGTGGACAGCTTGGCCTAAGCTGATAAACAAGCTAAATACCATCAATAGTAGAATGGTTAAACCAATGGGGTTATGTTCATGTGATGGAAGTGAGTAAATGAATGCCATGTCACAATGTATATGATTCGTGGTGATACAATGTGGAACGAAAAACAAAGGAAGGACAGGAAAACACATAGGATTCCATCCATATCAAGTTCAAAAGCAAAACAAAGTGATATGTTGTTTAGGATATAAGTATGTTGGTGAAGCTATAAAGAAGACAAAAGATGAAAAACAGAAAATTCGGGACAGTGGTAATCTGTGAGAGGGAAGAAGGACTTGGATTAGCACACTTTATAGCCTTCACATATTTTACAGGCCTGGTGATCCTCTTCAGTAAAAATTACTGTTGCTGTGACTGTGTTGTGTCAAGTTGATTCTGCCTGATGGTGACCCCATGTGTTAGAGAACTGACCCATGGGCTTTCTTGGCTGTAATCTTTATGGAAGCAGACTTCCAGGTTTTTCTTCTGTGCAGCCATTGAGTGGGTTTGAACCACTAACCTTTCAGTTACTAGCTGAGTACTTAACTCTTTGTGCCTTACAGCCAAGAAAACCCTATG